TTATTACCACATATCAACCTACGCCTTTTTATCAAATGTCTTTATTAGATTTTAAACCCTCTCATTTAGATATAAAGTCGAAAATCCAATATAATTTCTTTATAATTTTACAAAATATTCCATTAAGGTTTTTATTTTTTTCTGTTCATACAATATAAACTATTTATTGCAATAAAAACCTTGATAAAAATAATATTAACTATTACTAAATGAAAATATATACAACTTAAAATATAAATAACTATGAACTAAAATATTTACACCTTAAAAAAAGTAATAATAATAAGAATGCTATATAGCATCAAAAAAAAAAATGTCGTCATCGCTATCGTGAGGTAGGGTGCTCAAAAGACTGGCAGCATTGCCACGTTGAATGGCAATGCTTAACCTTTGCCCAAGGTCTTTGCCACTAGCCAGCCCTTCGACCACCAAGTGTCAACCATCCTCCTTACAATATCTTTGTAAAAAAGATGTGCACTTGAACATTAATAAATTTAAATAATAATAATTTCTCTGCACAGTATTTTAAACTGTTTTATTAATTCTAGATTTAAAGAAGTGATAGCTCTGGGCAAGCAGTTGTTGGCCAACAACCCAGCTCTCACCGACGTAGCGGACAAGATCAAGAGTTTAGAGACTGATCATGATGCTGTTATTAAAGGTAAAATATATCTTAGTATAATGGTTTGCTGAAATTATAATTTAAACTACCTTCTCTTCCGTGGTATTAACCGAAAAATAGGGAATACTGCCTCGTTAGCCGACTAGTTGCAAGTTCGAATGCATAGTGTTTGTTAAAAAGTGTAATTTAACGTATTGGATAAAACTGCCCCGTCGGCCGAGTGGTCGCAGGTGACTGCAAGGGGTCTCGGGTTCGATTCCCGGGTCAGGCAAAGTACTATTGAGTTTTTAAAAGATTCTCAGTGGTAGCACGGAGTCTGGAACTGTGCCCGGTATATGGCAATAGGCTCACCCTCTATTACATGGGACTCATAACATAAATAGTAAAAAGTGGGTGTTGCATTGTACAGTGGCATTAAGTGCCGTTATGTTCACCTCTGCCTACCCATTCGGAGATAAAAGGCGTGAAGCTATGTTAGTTATGAAGTTATTTCTTTTTTAGTTAGGTATTTACAATATAAGAAAATAAAAAAAATAAAATAATGTACAACTTAAGTGACACTAAAACTAATGAAGAAAAAGAAAACCAAAAATGACTATTTACAGCTGATACTGTCAACTGTCAAATGACAAAATAAATGTACCTATATATTACAGAATGGCACGAGAAGGACGCGTACCTGAAGCAGCTAGTCCAGCTGCAGAGCTTTAACCGCGAGTGCGACCAGATCGACGCGTCCACTGGCGCGCATGAAGCCTATCTAGAGTACAAGCAGTTTGGAGTAAGTTAAATATCTTATGAAATTATTTTGTAAGCTATTTGTAGTATCTCTTTCTATATTGCTCAGCGCACGCTCTCTCTCTAAATATATATATATATATATATATATATATATATATTTCCGTCTCTCCCCCTGTCTCTTTACATCTCCCATTATCTCATCTCATCTCTATCTCACCTTTCGCGCTCCCTCCTTCTCTTTCTCTCTCCACTTTTTTGCCACTGCCAGCGCCCATATCTCCCATCTCTCTTTATCATTATAGAAAAGACAAAAATATCAACAATAATTAGAAAAACACTGATCTTAATCAATTCCAAAATAAATCAGACAATAAATCAATATTATTATACACTAGCTACTTGCGCGCGATGTTTGCTTGAGATGTTTTATAGCCTGCCTTTTATAGCCTATAAATAATTATTCAATTCGAATCAGTAGTTTCGGAGATTAGCGCGTTCAAACAAACAAACAAACAAAAAAACAAACTCTTCAGCTTTATAATATTAGTATAGATAGTGGAATGTTGTAATGCCACCTGAAGGGAAAGTACTCTTAATACTTTAGATAGAACATTTTACTCAAAGAAAACATTCCTTTATTTTTGAAAAGAAACAAAACTGCTTTCAGCGATTTTTAAAAGTTAGCTACCACAGGGGG